TATTATAACATCAATAATTAAGGGCTTGTGATTAGATCAGCAGCACGACGAGCCAGGAGTGCGAATGAAAAGCTGGTGCTGAACCAAGCTTTTCAATTACGTAATGAAGCCTGGAAATAAGCTTTCACCATTCCTTGATTCATTCTCTCAGCACACTAGCCGGTGCGCCACATTTAATTTAATTTATAATAGAACCATTCATATTCTTTAGGAATGATTAAAAGGGTGTTCATAATATGAAAGGAACGTAGGGTACGTATGTCAAACAGAAAACGATGACCATAACATTGATCCTATGACCAACAGATTATCCTGTTTTGTAAACAATGCAATATATTCAAAACTGAAAAATCCTGGACTAACATCTTGGTGAAATGCCTCAAGCATTGAAAGTGTCTTTCTGTAACCAAAACATCAAATATCTCGCATCTACAAATTTCACGCTGCTAGTGTTTTTCTTTACGTGCAGGCGACTAAAAAACAAATTTATTTACTGCGAAAAATTTGCGGGTGTGTGAAGCTCAAGGCGCTTCGTGACGGCCGAGGGAGTGAGTCTCCTCCCTGACTTGACCAGCAACATCGAGATGCCCTATTTGATTCGAGCAAATAATGGCTCTTGGCGTCATCCCATGCACATCGCAACCGTCACTATATAGCTGGTACAAGGAGCGAGTAGGCGTGAATCAATGCCGATGACATCGGGCAACCTGCATTGTCGAACTTGGCCGATATATTCAGGAATGATGATCCACGAAGAAACAGTTCAGGCTAATCTAATCTCCAGACAAATCAAACAGCATTACGGCTTAACTCAAACAAATGAGCTAGATTGATACTTCCTTCAATCTGATCTTAGAGGACTTATTTTTCCGAGTCAGCTCACGTTTACATACTTCTGAATAGCTTCCGAATCTCACGCGAAAAAAGTCTATAAAATAACCAAAGCTCGTTCTTTTTGCACAGCCAGTGTTGTAAGAAAGATTTTGTACACATATTTACGGATAGAAATACTTATCACTTGCTTGAAAAAAAAACTTTTTAATGCTTAGCCGACCTCTACAATGCAAGAACATACGATTTTTAGATGGAAGTTAACCACACGATAAATGTTCATAGATGAACGAAACCATTACAATAAAAGACATTCAGGTTTGCAGCTAAACAAATTTCGAATCGAGTTCAATGCATAGGCTATAGCTTCCAACTACGATGCAGAAACGTTAGCCGTGGAAAACAGCGTATACCTAAACAATTCAAGGATAAGAACTGTGAAGGAAGGGAGGAACCTTGCTTCGTGATACTGCTTCAAAATCGAGTCCAGACAGGGCAACGGTAATGGTTATCCAGATCATTGGAACGAGGTCAAGACATTTTATGATTTCCTTGTACTGTAGTTATAGTAAATCCCAGCTTGGCAAGGTCAGGTTGAATCAAAGTTGAAACATTTAAATAACGTTGAATATTATATTCAACGTTATATTCTACTGTATCCACTATATCCAGTTATCCATTGTTATATTCAATATTATTCGCGACATTGAAATAACGTTGAATATTATTCCAGAATGAAAAGCAAATCAGTGCCATTTTTTCCAACGTCGTATATTTCGACGTTGTTTCAACGTTGAAATCGCGTTGAATTATAACGGTAAAGTGCATTTATAAAAGGTTTAATATCAGGCTAACTGTTCTATCATGAATGTCACGGCATTCACGCGATTCCAACGTAGAAAGAACGTCGAAATGTACGACGTTGAAAAAATGACGTCGATACACTTTTCATTCTGGATTAATATTCAATGTTGATTTAACGTCGTAAAGTTAGTGGTTTCAACGTTGATTCAATCTGACATTGCCCGATGAGATGCTCGAATTTAAAGCTTTGCTTCCACGAATTCCCGTTCATGTCGTGAGCAGCAGATAAATATTTGCAGTAATTCAGTGGACCATCAAACACAAGTATCGATGCTATTTGGAAAAACAGTGAGAATAATAAATAGCAGGCGAGGAGCATAGCATATGTGGATTGCAATGAGGATGCACAACATAGATACACTTACAGGTCACGACCTGTCATTGCAGAGACAGAGATGCGGGTCACGGAGTCAAGGTGACACAGGTCATGCTGGCGCTGTTATGCCGTGTCACAGCTCATGCTGGCGCTGTTATGCCGTGTCACAGCTCATGCTNGCTGCGTCACAGCTCATGCAATTTGGCGCAGCTAAAGAAACACATGTTGAAAATTGGTCGCTCTGTTTCAAGTGGCATTTGGGATCATCGCTGAGCCTGCGGTTGCCGTTGTGGCTCCATGAGAGTGCGAGAACGTAAGATCAACGGAACATCAAACGCTCTCATTGGGGTGCATTTTTACTTATAAGTCAGCTCCAAACGCAGATTTTCAAGCAGTCCATATATTTTTAATAAATCGAAACGAACAAAACGTCTGCTCGCTAAACACAAATAGTTAAATGCAGCGATGTCTGCGTGTTGTTTCCTATAATTTTAAGGACCGGTATTATTGCAGATTAACTACATCCAAAAAAAAGGGTGTTTTTTTTTTTTAATTATATGTTTTTTTGGGGTGTAGATTACGAATCTGAAATTCATTTTTGGCGGTCGGCATCGGAAAACCGATTTTTTTCGCGACTTACTAACATGGGGGTTACGTAACTTACGAGCAGTGTTTTTATAGAAGTGCCTGAACTGAAGAAATAGGCCCATGCCCTGTTGCCGCATATCTTCATAGCTGATAGTTGATACAAGACTTGCATCTGGTACCCAACATGGTAATGCACGTTTCCATGATAACACGGATCATCACTTCCAGCATGTTGAAGGTAATAAGAAAGAGCTAATTGTCAACTATTATTCAATCAAAAACCTAAAATGACACAGAATTTGCTGGCCATGAAACATTAAATATTAAGTACATTTATACAGGCGTGATTACGGGAAGAATACACGTACAATTGGCGGTATTCATGCATCCAACATCGTGAACGGATCGAGATAAAAACATGAACAGCGACTGTGACCATACACTGATGGAACACAATAAACTATAGAAGTCTGAATACGTATTTCGAACAAACTTTAAAATTTAATAATGCAACTATTAAGCAGAAACGTATAATACATTTTTGGGGTTCTCACCTTAGTTTTGGGTGATCAAAGTCGTAATTCTTGATGGAGCCTCTTGCAATTTTGTGTAATGCGTCGCGAGTTTTGAAGATCACTTCTGCCTGCGCGTTGCTGTCGCTAATCACATTTTATAGTTATACTTAGGCACTGTAAAAGCCTTTGGATTAATTTTCTAGTAAGAGTTTTCGATAGAAGCTTTAAATTAAATTATTTAATAACTTGCTAACAGTGCCTGCTCAATCTCTGTGAAAGATGCAAAAACTATGCACCATCGAAACTCGTCTCGTCACTGAGCAGTTACTATCGATTTAGTTTCAATATCTTCATTCTTAACCTTAAAAACATTTTACGAAATCGTCTGAATTTATAAATTTCATAGGCCAGATAATTTGTAAAGCTGTACCGGTACTGAGTAGGATAGCATCCCGAAGTTGAACTCTACGTGCGCATAAATTCAAGCAGCATGCCAAATTCATGTTCGAATTCCTGGAACTTTTTTCGTATTCCTTGTGGAGAAATATATACGTCGTTCATGCTTTGTTGGATACAAAAAAAAAAACGCAAGAAATTGGTCTTTAGTTGTTAATGTCTTTACGGAGCATTGAAGAAGTTAGGTGCAACTAAACCCTCAATTCATAACCCAATTTAGGGAAAGGACATTAACCCAAAATTAATACCCAACACATCGGAAAAACTATTGATGAATTTGACTAATACTTCTTTCGAAACTTGGCAGTATGGCTTTGGTTTGAGTCCGAGAACCGGGAGACACCTGTCATTTCCAACCATTAATTCCATTTTTCAACACTTTATTCTACTATGTGATATATAAATATTGAAAAATGAAGGTTTGTAGTGGCGTCAAAAGTTGGTTGAGAAATGAAAAGGGTTATTAAATTAGTCGAGTAATCAATTTTATGCCACTGTCACCATAGAAAGCGGCAGATCAGAGCGCTGCGCCTTGTACACCTCTCACCACAACTTTACAACAGGTACTGAGTACCGACGCGCGTCCGCGTGTAAACGGCTACGGCCCCGTACGCGAATTTGACATTCTAACCTGGCGCTTGCTGCTATATATCCAAAAATTCACGGTTTAAGGAATACCGATTAGGCTACTGTTTTGATCCACATGATAGCAATAATTATAAATTACAAGGGAATTTTTAACTATTTTGTTTGCTTACCAATGAGCAAGCAAACTGTATTTTCGACATGATTGAACCATGATTTTCGATTCGACAGTTGAAGTTTTTTGCAAGGTTGCGATTACATTTTTCTGTTAAATAAGTATGCATGGAATTTTCATTCTTGACGCATGACAATCTCGATAACTGATTATTGCTTGCCCCTTCGAAATATGCTCGTCATTCTACCTATCAGTAGCGCTTAAAGCGATTAATTGTAGTCGTTTCTTTGCCGGTTGGCTTGAACGACGCGACAAATGGAAGCATCTCATATATATGCGGTTAGTTGAGCGCAAAGCATTGCTAAGTATGATACCAGAGGTGAAACCTACTAACCGTTGTGCTTCAAGTTCAATAGAAACCATAACCGTCCAAATCTCGAGTTACATGCACAACATTGAAATTCTATTATTTAAGCCCATTTAATTCTAGCTATGACCTTCAATGTGTAACGTGTCTGTTGTAATACTTACTGATACGATCAGACAATCCTAGCAAATCTGTGGTCCGTTAACAAGTATGAGCATGGACTCGCAACCGGTAATCAATGGCCAGTCATATAAACTTATCAATTTCTTACCTGGAATCAAAGCTGTATCAGTTTGCAGATATCAAGTTAGGCAAACAGGATTCCTACTTTAGCTTGAAAATAGTGGATTAATAAAATTCACGTCAGTTGCACTGTATATTTAACTTAGAAATCGCACATGAAGAATTCGATCGCTGCTAATGAAAATAATGCTAACTTAATTTAATTAGATAGTTATAACCGAAAAAAAGATTCTCAGTCTCAAAACCTCCAGGGCGCACTCAGGCCGCAGTTAGGAGCATGTCATGATGCGTGACTTACAGAAACGATGTCACGAGTCACCTAGTCTCAGGCTTCAGGACTAGAAGCGTTTCCGTTCCAAGGATCCTTCAGGAGCTCAACATCTACTAAGTACGCTTCCAAATAATGAGGAAATGCAGCGAATTCTCCATTAAAATTCCAGCTCGCGAAGTTGAGCGCTAGCTGGTAGAAACTTCATAAAATTAAAAGTTTACCCAGCGCTCTACAAAGCTTGACGATGACAAGAAATTAAAACAAGAATGAGAAAATCAAGAAATTAAGAATAGAATCAGAGCCATTGGCTAAGTTGTAAAAATTGAGACGATATCGGAGCCAATTAAAACGCACTATAACGAGCGTTATAGATTAACACATAGAAGATCATTCTTCTTTTTAATACCAAAAAAAAGAAAAATTAAAATTCTGCGATTTCCGCCCGGTAAAAAAGAGAGGGAAATTTGTTTATCTTGTCGTTAAACAGCAACAACCTAAAAATAAGAAATCCGCTAAAAGCTCTTAATTCGATCCTCATTAACCATGTAAATGGATGTAAAAAGAGGAAAAAACAAACCATGATGCTTTACATCGCAATCCTTTCAAAAACAGAAGAAGTCCTCGCATAACATAAGTTTAGTCAGAAAAACATAAATTTTCGAGTAACAAATTTGTTGAAGGCTTTCGACTCCTAGAATCAATGCTTCCAAATTATCATGAAAATGAAGTCGACACTAAATGTGCCTGAAACACAAGTGAAAATCTCAATTAAATGAAAAAAATATTCCCGCGCCACACACTTCCATTCATTTTTGAAGGACCCTAATCGCCTTCCTTAATTTCTTCTCTAAAGTCAGTGTTCAAGCCAAGATGGAGGAATCCTGATGGTTAATCTACTTGGTTGAGGCCCTTCGCTTTGTTCCTAAGTCCTGAGCAGAGTAGCTCATTTCATAAATAACTGCAATATTTAAGCCATATTTAGCGCTCCTGGGGTCGTAGCTGAAGTGGTACAATGTATCTGTGAGCTGCTACACCACAGCTTGTCCACCGCCCAACAAAAATGCTCACGTCTTCTTTACTATGGGTCTCGTCATCGATGAAACTCAACTGCGACACCGGCAAAATTTCCAAACAAGAACGTGAAGACCAGTTCAATACAGTTTCAGTAATCGAATCAAGGCAAGAATTCTTTAGATATCTTCGGATAAATGTTCATGTTCACCAAGTTAATGGTTCACTTGCACATGAGGAAAACATTCGAATGCCTTCATTTCGCTCTTAGGCGAGTCGAGCTCGCAATGGCCGGACATTCGCAAGTGTGGCCGGACATTCGAACATGGCGTTGTGTCGGACAATTCAACACGACGTACTAAATGTAAATCGTTCTCTCATGTGCGACCAGCTAGACTGCCAACTGCCACAAGACTTCGTAGACAAGAGTTGACCAAAGAATGACACGAGCATTTAAGTAGATGAGCACAGGCTGTAGAGTAGCAGATACGATGGGTGTTGTGGTGATGATCGTGGCGGCAATTGGCGTGGCATACGGCGGGGTGTGGCGCCGTTTCATAGCCACCACAGGCTCATCCACAAGAGCAGAGCAGCTCGATGATGGCCACCAGTGCGTTTCAGTATGGCTGCAATATTTCATTAATACATTATTTCAAATTATAAGTTCCCATCTTGCAATTAAAAAACACCACGCGTGGTCTAATTTTGATTTAGATTTAAGTTTAAATGCTAAATAATAAGCCAACAGTGCTATCAACAAGCAAGGCAAAAACTTAAGTGATTGCTGGCCATTGCAATTTAAAAAAGACCAAAGGTGGTCTAATTTTGATTTAGATTGAAGTTTAAATGCTAAATAATAAGCCAACAGTGATATCCACAGGCAAGGCAAAAATTTATATTCAAGTGATAGCTGGCCAAGAAAGGAAGGAACAATGCTTCACCTGATGGGATGAGGAGGAAGAATTGTAGCGCTGGGATTGTCCACGTGCCCCAGGATCATCCTGAGAGAGCATCATGCCCACAGGTCCGAAGCCGTCCATGGCTCCAGCATAGTCCTGAGATCCAATGCCTTGGGACAAACCGCTGCCGAGGCCCAACATGCCACCCTGAACGAACATTCACTTAATATTGAACTTTATGCGCGACTTACCATCAAATATGTGCGACTTAACATCAAATATGCGCGACTTGCCATCAAATATGCGCGACTTGCCATCAAATATGTGCGACTTACCATCAAATATGCGCGACTTAACATCAAATATGCGCGACTTAACATCAAATATGCGCGACTTAACATCAAATATGCGCGACTTAACATCAAATATGCGCGACTTAACATCAAATATGTGCGACTTACCACCATCAAATATACTCAAGTTCAAGTTTGTAGGAATTAATTCTGCACGTGAATTGTGAAGATTATCATAGGAAGATTTTATTCAATAAAAATGATCATATTACATATTAAAATGACTGCGATTCTTCAATAAGATAAATAAGCCTAATTCTGTCCATGTTTGGACAGAAAATTCTCTGATAAATGTCACCTTCAGAAAGAGATTCAATTTATTTCATACTGGATGGAATAATATTCGACTATTACGCTCTTTTTGCTGAAAATTCCATTTACAAAAATCGTCAACACAATTATATTCATGAACTCATCATCATCAAAGGAAGAGAGTTCAGTTATTATTATTAAAAAAAATACATTAAAAATTTGTAACAGTCAACAACAGCGCGGTGAGCGCCAGACAGGCTGGCTCGTTTCCAATGCAGTCCATTCACCAAGTTTGCAGGTCGCAATTAAATTGGAGATATTTCGAAACTTTTCACGCTAATCCAGCTATTCATTTCGAAATTTGCACTTTGACGAGTATTGCAAAATTGTGTACAGATTTAATACTTACCACGAAGGAGGACAAATTTGCACATCGATGAAGAAGCAAAGTCTCTTTCCATATTTTTCCCCGTTTTTGCTGTCTTAATATTTTTTACTTGACTCATTGCTGAATCATGACATGCAATAATCAGCATTCTTTGTAATTTAGGAAAAATATGAGTAAAGATGTTGATTTATTCCAAATTTCGAACCTGAGACAAGCCTTGGGTGAAGCCCTGGGAGAGCCCCTGTGAGGCGGCCGTGAGTTGTTCCTGCGACAGGCCGCCTGCGTAGCTCGACTGACTCTTACTGCCTCCGCCCGCACGTCCTGACTCTCCCAACCGTCCGTTCGTACGTCCAGAGTTGCCCATCTTCACGAAAAATAAAAAATTGTTAATTACCTATAATATCTTAGTTTAATCATTTATCAAATCTTTATTTCACGAGGCTGAAAATGTTTTCTCAGGGCCAATACATATTTGATCTAAGTTATCTGGCATAGAGGCGTTTAATAAGAAAGGCCGATTAATCGAGCTTCAATTTATTAGCAACTAAATATTCATTTTAAACAATTGTTCAACGCGACACAAAGACGTAAATTAATGAAGTAAAATTTACAACCCAGAAAAAGACGACTGAAGCAAAATGCAGCCAAAACATAGAAACGTATAATGCCAAACCTGTTGTTGCTGCTGGTACATTCTAGGCAGCGGCATGTGGTTCATATTCATGAACATGTTCACAGGCATGGGGAAGCCACTCAAGTTAGCCTGGGATGCTTCGTTGGGAATATAATCCACGGGGTCATGGATTAGGTTGCCTTTGTTGTACGCGTTCATGTGCGCGCCTGCACAAGAGAACAAGAGAAGATTAGGAGTATAATACGGCCTGGCCAAGTCAATGATCACAATAATCTATAATAAATTGGTTCATTAATTACTTTTGGAGAGCCTAGCAACACTAAGCAATTAAAGTCCTGACGGCACAATAACAGCAATATAAGCTAATTAAACTTAAACTTGAGAAGCAAGTTGTTGTTGTTGGGGTTCCCCGGTCTCCCTTTTACAGGAGACCCCTGAGAAGCAAGTAGCACGTATCGATGAAGACTGTTTACCAGTATAGAAGTGCTGGGGTGGAGGTGGGGCTCCGTGCTGCCGTTGCTGGGTCATCGCCATGTTGCCGTTCATGGTGCCATTGACAGCAGGTCCTGCAGCGTTACGCATGAGACGTGACGACTTCTCGAAAGCAGAGCCAGGCACTATCACTTCCCTAGCATCGTACGTCACTCGACTCATGAAATGACTCCCAGGGTTGGCCAAGTTCACCATGCGCTTGGGCTTGCTGAACATCATCAATGACTCCTGCAAGTTAGACAAGGCTCCTTCAACGAGCAGGTGCTTGTCTTTGAAATGATAGAGCAGGTTGTTCCACAACGGTTGCTGTTGAAGACAAATTAAAAAATAATTAGTCACAAAAAACATTAATATATATATATATACGAATATGTGTAAATATGATTTCAACGGTCATCTCAAGAGCAGTACAAATATTGGACGTGTCGAATAAAAAATTTACGAGAAAGTTTCAAAGCTGAAGGCCAGCTCAAATTTGCAATAATCATAGATGCTCAAGTCAAAAGCAGAACAAATAAATTGTCACAAAAAAAATTTACACGGTTCGAAATATATATATAAAACATATAGCACCCAGAGAATAGTTTTACCTTAGAAAGCAATTTAGGGTTTCCGATGATTATTAGTCCATATTTGGCGCGCGTGAGAGCCACGTTGAGTCTCCTGGGATCGGCCAGGAAGCCGATGCCTTGATGGTCATTCGAGCGCACGCACGACATAATGATGAAGTCTTTCTCGCGCCCCTGGAACGCGTCAACGCTGGCCACCTCCACTCGCTGGTACAGCTTTTCGTTCAGGGTTCCTTGCTGCTTCATGTACTGGCACTGAAACATGACTTCGTTAAGCCACGGCGGTCCAGATAGAATTTTCAACAGTAGTAAACATTGACAACAGTTTATTTAGCCTAAGCATTAAAATTAACTCAATTTGATTGAAAACTAATCCTCAAATGAGGTTTCATAACAAAGTCCTTAGCTTTATTAATAAAATTCATTCGGAAAGCTGAAATTTTTGCCATTTTGCAGCTGTTGCGAAGGTGAAAGTTTCAGGTGCTAATATTTGAGGGCTAAACGGTACAGATAATGAAAACCTAGCAGTATCTATTCATTGAAAAACGTTGACGCAAAAATAACTTGTTACTTACTAAATCATATGAAAGATGATAACCTTTCTGTAATATTTTCCCTAGAAATGATTCGGCAAATTTTTTTTAGTAGATAATAGAACAACTCAGATAATAGAACAACATCATACTCCGAACAACTCAGTTTCACGAGTATGATGCTTCACGCATGCTATTCATAGGATTCGGAGGACAGAAAAAAGTTCCTAATACTACGATTCTACGAATTAACCATCAATGAACGCAGCAAAAGGTTGATAACCGATTAATAGATGAAAATTTGAGCTCAACAATACGTGAAAAGTTCATTGTTGTGTACTAACATGCAATATTTGAGGTACAAACATGGAGGCGAGACTGACAGCCCGATTGATACTGAAAGAACACAGAACACGAAGGTAGAACAACAGAAGCTTTCTCTCACCAGATAGGCTCGTTGTCCCTCGTAGGGAGTGACCACGCCGATCTGATCAGGCTCTATGCCACCTTGTATGAATTTCGTGACGATTTTCTCAGCAATTGAAGCCTCAGTTCTGTTGAGGTAAGATGTACCAGAGCCTGCGATCTCTTCTTGGCCCGACATAACGTAGAAGAACATCGGGTGGTCGGGGACTGGCCATGGAAAGTTCAGGCCCTTCATCGTACGATCAGCTGCGAAAGGAGATTACGATCATTGTTACACCCCTGGGTAACCTATTTATAAAGAGATTCATTGATAACAAAAATCAGCCTAATTAAAAGAAATTTGACATTCCCTGTCCCAAAGAATAATTTATAAATTGAATTTTATCATCTTTTCGTTTCGTGCAAGATCACATTAGTTCGCAAATTTGTCTTGCCTCAAATTGGAATCTAGGGTTGGCAAGCCTGATTTGCAGGCAGGGGATGGTTATGAATACCTGTTGAAATTCGATTTGAAACTGAACAGAATAATTTTCTGGATGGAAGGGTTGTGCAATGCGAATGTCGTAAATTTGGTATAAATTCAATCACCAAATCATGAAAGGTACTGTAAAAATTGCGTTACAAACTGCAAAAGATAACCGTAATTAAGCCTGCATGACTGACCGGCGACAACGCCATTGTGGAGCGATCCCTCATAGAAGAAGTTAGAAGGGAACTGTGCCAGCAGCGGGTGCATCCTGTACTGCACGGTGAGGCGGAAGGGTTTGATGTTGAGCACCACGAGGCGTTCGAACAACGACTGCGACAGGCCCGCCTTCGCTGCTTTCTTGCACATCACGACAGGACCAAGCTGACAGTGATCGCCTACCAGGATCAGCTGCTTTGCGCCCAGAACCACCTGAATTATGTGAATTGATCCAGTTAATACCGATATACAGTGAGCCTAACTAATGTAGAACTTGAATATAAAAGTTAATAATCGATAAGCCTGTTATTATAGAATTTACATTAAAAATAGACATTCTTAATGACGATAAATTTCTTAAAAATTGTCAGAAAAACAACCACGCTCAAAATTTCTCACTTACAAGAGAATCACTATAAGCCTTTTGCAACTAAAATAAGAAGAAAAAATGAAGTGCTATCGTAGCAACCACACTTGTCCCCTTAGCCCACATTTGATTAACTAAAGAAAACTTTCCGGAAGATGATGAAACTTCCCCCCCCAATAACTTAATCAAAAACTGGGTTGTTCTCATAAATAACCAAGCCAAAAGCTGCACTCACAGGCACCATGCACTCAGGCTCAGTGGCCTGCATGGACTCGTCGATCAAGATGGTGTGGAACTTCATCCGCGACACGCGATTGTCGCCGGCACCCACACACGTGCAGCAGATCACGTCAGCAGCCTCCAGTAGTGTCTGAATTGCAGAGAAATTGTAGTTAATTCTTCAGAAAAATTAACCGGGTAAACGCGTGCATCAACGAACAATATCAAAATTGACAGGTGATGAAGTTTCCTACTCTCCAGACAGCAAAAACAGCGACTCCTACATCCTAAGTATATTAACGATTTATTCCTGCTTCAAACGACATTTGTTCAACCTCAGACCTGAAAGTTGTGCTGACATGAAGAATTTTAACAAGTTAACATTACTAGGCATCGGATAAGCTGGATGTATAAGAACAAAAGAAGCTGAAATTAACAAACATTTCTGACCTTTTCGGCTTGCTTCTTAAGCGTCCTGTAGCGCTCTTCATCGTTGTACGAAAGCTCCTTGGTCTCATCTTTGAGTAGCTGTAGCTTCTTAAACTCGGCTGAGTCCGGCATATTCCGGATTTGGTTGTGAAGTGACAGGAAGGCTACAGGCGAGTCAATGGCTTCTCGTGACTTGGCACATAGACGCACGACTTTCAGTCCTGTCTTATGAATTTTTTCAGTTAGCTGGTCAACAGCCGTGTTTGAGGGAGCGCAAACCAATACTTGCCCTGTACTTTGCTTGGCCAACTGATACACTAAACTGGCACTGGTAACGGTCTTGCCCGTGCCTGGAGGACCTTGAATGAGAGACAGCGGTCTCTGCAGCGCATGCTTCAAGGCAAACTGCTGGGAGTTATTGAGAGTGGGCAAGTTAGGTGCACTGAGCGTCTTAGGCATCTTGCAGTGCTTTAATAACACTTCTTCTGTCTCCAAATGCCCCAGCAATCGATGGTAAATGTAAGCTGACACTGCAGTATTATCCAGGGAGAACTTGCGTAGAGCTTGCTTCATGCGATCAAAGCTCGTACTCTTCCACACAAAGTCTATAACAAACTTGTCGCGGCAGCCGGTGGGAGCGTTGTGGCCAGATTTCAATTCCAGACCAACTTCGTCACTAATACTGTCTGGTATTTTGATAACCTGACGGGAAAACAAAGACAGGTGTTAGAGAATCAAGGATATAGTCTATGTGAATATTATATTTAAGAATTCTCAAGTCGAACATTCACAAATACATCTTCCACCTACCAAAAAAACTGTTTCATCTTAACCTAACCGCACCTGGCCCACTCCAGTCCATGGATGCTGAGGATCGCCCAAGTAGCGTATGCGGAGCTCATCGCCATGCATGAGGCGAATATCTGTTAACAAATAAAAAAATTTTTGATAATGCCAAAAAAGATGAAGACAAACAGTCCTCGAGATCTCAAAATCCCTCCATGGAACACGTGCCCAGAGTTTGTTTAGAGACACCAACCCAAAGCCATGATGCAAGGACTACCTTGACAGCTACCAAGCCTAGCCCATCATTAACACCAAGATATGAACTGAGCTTCCCAAAGGTCGAACCCTCAACTCGCCACTGCCTAAAGAGTAGTGCTTACCACTGTGCAACATCATTACAATAAATCACTGACAAAGAGAACTGTATCCTAAACAGAAATGAAGTTAAGTAAAAAGTAAAGTAAATAATTAAAACAATAATCGAAATCTCTATTTAGATGAATCGCCATTAAATAAGTCAATTGTCAATGAAGCTTTAATTCAGTAAAAGTTTATTTGTTGGAGGATTCCACATCACTGGTTCAAAGCAATGACTTGCTGTGTATGCAGTCCGTCAATTTTCACTACACTCGGCAAACCACTTCCCAACACAATGAAAAATATGTACAGTCAAAGACATCACAGAGTATAATATTTCAAACTGATATCAGTTCTAAAGCAATACTGACCATTGTCATTCTTGGGAACACTGAAGTAGGCGCAAATTTTCTTGTTGAGCCCAACATCCCAACGCACATCAATTTTATCCGTGGTTTGTGATTCCTTAAGCTTTTTGTCAAAGTCCGCCTCAAGGTTCAGCAATGGAGTGAAGATGCTTGCGTATTGGTAGCCACTCTCATACCTGTACATGACAAAGACAATTCAACAATATGAATAAAAACCTAGAAACAGAAATTTCCATGAAATGCATGTAGAAATAAACCTCAGTTATCTATCACACGCCCAGTCATAGTTAAAAAAAACAAATTTCATAAGAACAGCATTCTCATTTCTTATAAAAAAAACGGGAAACATCGTAGGCGAGTGCGTAGATGTACATACTTGAGACAAACATTCTGGATTTCTTCATCAACCCCAGGCTTGGTCAGATCTTCGAAGGTAGCTTTAGGATTTTCCTTCCACAAGTCTTCAATCATAGCCATCTGCTGAGGAGAGATCTGCCGAGCTCGCAGCTGCTCCTCAGTTGTAGGCACCCGCACGATCCAGTCCAGCAGGGACCTGTTGCTCACCAGAGGCCGCCACTGCTCCGGGTCCCTGGCAGAATAATAGACAAATGGTTATTTATGTGAAAATTGCGGTAATGGTCACAAATGTACCACAAAGCAGTCGCATTATTGATTATACTCGGGCCTTCTATAAAAAATTATAAAATTATATCATGAAATCGATTGTAAGTCCCAAAATGTTGTACAACTGCCCATGTAGTAAGAGATAAAACTTGAGATCAATTATTAATAATACCAAAATATCAAAGTTCAAAGTGAGACTTTCCATCAATATAATTGAACTGACAACCTTCTTCCCTGTAGTATTTTCATTGGAGTCATAGTTGTGCGATAAATATTAATTATCCTGCACTCAAATGTCAAGATGATGGTTTACAGGTAGTTTTTGGCCTGCTGTAGGAGTCTCCTCTACTTATCGATCCAAGAAGACCAGGTCACGAGTGCAATGGTAACCTTATCTGATAACAGCTGCCACCCTGCTTCTTTGAACAGAAAGGATCTGCTCTGTGGGCAAGTGATAATCCTACTAGTTCATGTCCTTGAAGATGTTTGAAATGATCTGAAGCAGATCAGATCAGATTTGATCTTTTCATTTAGAGGAAAATATCGGAAGCAGATCAGATCTGTTCTTTTCATATAGATGAAAAGATCTGAAGCAGATCAGAAAAAATCTGCTCAGTGGACAAGTGATAAACCTACCAGTTCATATCCTTGAGGTTGTTACGTCCAGCACATGGTTGACGACACATCAACACCACAACACTTTCAGCCTGGGCTGGGATGAAGCCAAGTACAAAGATGTTCTTGACGCCGCAGCAATAGCATTCCAGCACCGTGTCAGCAACCAAGCCATCCTTGTGAACACTGATCTCCTGTTAAAAAAAGCAAATTTTGAATAAATCTCAGGAATAAACTAGGTGCATTTCAAATTGAAAACTTCAGATCATGTTAACAATGACACCAACCATGAAGAACTGCGATATTGAAAGTACAAACAATATAAATAAAACAATATATCGCTACATATGAAAAGGATTTCAATCAAGTAAATTCAAATTGAATAAAAAATTTATGAAAGATTTCATAAATAAGCATAGTGGATAATTTTCTTGATTTTTTGGAATGAAGTTGTTTAATAATAGATTTTGTTACAATAAATTACCAGACAAAACAATTTCAATTTATTTCTGGTATGAATATACATACCGTATCAAAGTCACAACTGCTTGTGAATGAATCTGAATATACTACCTCTTCTTATAATTCATAATTAAGAACATATTAATCCCTCTCAAATCCATGTGCGTTAGTACAAACCTTGTGCTTGGCTCTGACAAGATGAGTGATGATGTGGGAACCAGTTGAGGTGCCCATGCCATTGCAGAACCATTTCTTGCAGACGTTGCAGTGCACTACACTCTTTGGGTCATGCAAGTTGCAGTACTGGCAGGCCCATTCAGGAAGATCCTGGCTCTTAGACTCATCTAAAGGAACTTCTTCATCTTCTTCTTCCTCCTCAAACTGGAGCTGCTTCAGCTCTTCAGTGACTTTGGCCAGGGCAAGGAGGTCATCTCCTCCATGTTGTGACTGCACAATGCACAAAAGGTTATTTCATCATGAAAATTTAGTCAACATGCACAAGTTTAGGTTGAATTGGAGGGATATAAAACATTGATTTACTAACAATGAAGAGCCCATGATGAATGCAAATGGCATACAGAAATATAAGCAGAAATACATAAATTTTCTTAGAATTTTACAAGTCTTTTAGAGGAGAGAAAGCTAATTTTAAAACTTTTTATAACAAAGGAAAATTCTTAAAGAGCTTAGTCCTAAAAACAGTAAAATTAATTTAAACCTATTAATTTACAGAAATCCTATTTATGGCATATATAATTTTAGACATGAGTAACCGATGAAAAACTTTCATTTTGATGGCCAAGAGAATTGTGAGATATAGTAAAATACAAAATTACATTTAACACAGTGGTCAGCATCTCTGAAGATTTCACACAATTGTTCCTGAGATATTAATGCGGTAAGCAAACCGATAACACAGTTGAATTTAAAATATTTTTGTATCAAGCAAGGGTTGTTGAAATCCTATTTAAAATCCATTGTATTACTTATGTATACAACCCTAATCTTAGTTAAGTTTCAGACCTTGGCCATGATAAGTGAAATTGCAATGGGGAATTGATCAACTGAAGGTACCGGTACTAATTGAAATATTTATATCATAATCATTTAGCAAGTTAATTAATAGTATACAAACTTTCTCATACTCATACTGCCAAAAATGTTTGATGGGCTGTTTAAATGTGGTTCATCAACTTCCTCAGAAACTTATCAATGGGTGGAGATCCATGAACAATTATAAACATTATCCCTTTTGCAGGCAAATTACCATACATGGTCACTTTAATGTCCTCCCAAACAGACCCAATAAGCCCCAGGTTGAGTTTGAGGCTACACTAGCATGCCTCTCCCCATCACCAATCATCTGACCATCATTTAGTACATTGCATTACCCCTACCATGCACAAGAATTTTGACTCGGTCAAAAGTTTTGGCTCAAAGAAATTGACACTTTCTACATTGTCTCTACAAAACAAATGTTGCACTATTCATTCATTGGAATCTTAGATTATTGTTCTTTACATTTGTTTTCTTGAATTTGCATTAAATGAAAATTTTTTTGGGTAGTAACCCATTTGATAAATTCTTAAGAGTGCAATATTATTGCAATATGAAAAAAACTATGACAAATACATATGAGAATATTTGTACAATATATCTTATGCTAGTTCATATTTTCCTATACCTACTGGTTTCAGAAACTCATGTTTTTGCATATTATTATGATTGCCCACAAAAGGGGTTAATATCACATGAAATCCTTTTATAAATTGAAGCCACAGTGGGTGAAGTAAAAAATAGAGCTGTGGATTACAGTACTTTGATCTAATATGATATGTGTACAGATTTTTATAGAATTTTATCAGATTAGACTTTGACAAAGAGAATTAATGATCAATATGGCAAATGGTAATTATCAATCTCTGAAAATACAAGTATAACCCCAATCACCTCATGTTGTCGTGTCATGCTACAACCTTGGCTGCAAATGATATCTGCCCTTAATTCTGCTATTTTTAGGTGCATTCTGTTTTACATATGCTGCAATTATTTTACCAGGCATTATGTATATTTTTTCCTATCAAATGCAATTCAAATGCACAATTGTGAAATGGAATTCATTTAATAAAATTATGGGAATGAAAGTACCACAAAATGGGGTAACTTAGACTCCCAGGATAATGGGGTACTTAGACCACTTTCAGTTTTTTTAACAAAAGCCCCCAAAACTCAAAAACTATTTGACATAGAAAAATTTTGTCAATAGGCATTAAAGGCCTAATACTGAGGCTACGTAACACAATAGAAAGATAAAATAATTAAGCATATCTGATAGGATGATAAATGTGTCCTGCGAAAAAGAGCTATAACTTAAAAGCCTGTCATAGAACCCCCTCCAATTTTTTCATTTTTTATTAAAATAACTCCAGGTTTTGGTGCATTGTAGTAGAACTCTTCTAGTTACATATGCAAATGACAAATTTGAGGAAAGTGTCATAGTTTGCAAATGGGGGGCGCTGCCCCCGAATGGGAGAACTTAGATCACCTAATGTCAGCCCTGACGTGGTAACATAGACTGGCTTGGGAATTAATTTAAAATTACCATATTTAACATATTTCATGTTTGATACACCTATTAATGTTTTTTGTTTACATTTCAGACTCTACAGAGTCTTACATATGGCAATTTTAACTCAATTTCCAAGCCAGTCAATATTACCCCTTCACGGCTGACATTAGGTGGTCTAAGTTCCCCCATTGGGGGATGGTGCCCCCCATTTGCAAACTATGACACTTTCCTCAAATTTGTCATATGCATATGTAACTAGAGGAGTTCTACTACAATGCATCAAAACCTAGAGTCATTTTACCAAAAAATAAAAAAATTGGTGGGGGTATAGTCAGATGGGGTAAGACAGGACCGAAATCACTTACAAGCCTGTAGCATCTATACCATGAAAAACTAAAAAACCCTAAACCTATCACAAGGTGTAGTTATGCAATGGGCTTCTAAGCTACAACTCAGAAGTTTTGCATCTAACATAGTTTTCTGTACAGATTGAAATAAGTGACCTGTGTTACCCCATTGGGGTAAGATGGGATCAGGCTGGGGTAAGAAAGGACCAACTGGTAATTCTTATGTTACAAGGTTTTTAATAAAAGTACAAATATGATATTCAATATTATCCATCTAGAAACACATTATTTGATTAAACAACCCCTTGTTACTGTTTTGTGTTGTGGGAAGTCAACTCTAATATCAGTCATATTGAAGTTTTTGTCATGAGAAAACTCTGTTAAGCATAGTAATAGTGGGGTGGTTTTGGTTCATTGTAGAGCACTGCTAAATGCTTCATGTATATTCCATTAGTGTCATTGTCTGAAAAATTTATCAAATTGGTAATAAAACCAATGGATAATAACTTAATTGTCAGACGTCATGTGTTTTCTTGCTAACTGCATTTGTGGTGCACTTCTTCAAACATAGCTCATGCCCTCTCACAGAGTTGTGATCATAATTATTTTTCATGTTTCACACANTTTAGTTAATTCTGCAGCTTCAACCAGTAAGAATGAGCATCATAGGAATGAAAGTAAAACTGTCATTCATACATCACAAATTGAATGACAATGGGATTTGATAGGTATTTTATTAATCCTGTTTATATATAAGAACGGAAATGACGCTTCTATTTCAGAATAATAGAAATGTCCCTACTATTTCAGAAACTGTTCTTGAATACACCTGCAAAAACTAAAGTTCTGTAATCAATGGAGTCATCGAAATGACAAAATCTTTCAATTTAAAATTTTTAGCTATATGAGTGAGATCATCAATCATCATAGGTGCTGTAATAAGAAAAAATTTGTCGTTTTTGATGCCAAAGATTTTTAAATTAAAAAAAATGCAATACTTGACTTTTGGATGCTAAAATTAATGATCCGTATTAGAATTCCATAGACATTATGCTTTCAGAATTAATTTGAAAAAGTTTGTACCCATTTAGAGTTTATAATTTTACAAATTGCATAATGCAATGCACAAATTCAAGATCACCTATGAGTATGAATTTAAGTCTCATGACTGACGAAGAATTCAAAATCTATTGTACTATCACGTAAGCGTGATATAAGCTTTTTGTCCTTTCAATGAAAAAAGTTTATTTAGGTTCTATTGGCCATAATGGGTAGAACAATGCGACATTTTAGCAGCTGATTAATGGGGTACAAATATTGTGGTAGATACATCGTCCAAGAATTTTGATGCAAAGATTTTTTTTAAGGGTAATAAATTGATTTTCAAAAGGTTAATCCATCTTATAGATATAAATAAACCTCATTCAATTTATTTCAAAAGCGTTTCATCATAAATGAGCATTAGAATTAGATTTCCTATGAATAAACCAAGTCAAAGTAACAAAATAATTTGTTTGAATTTTAGATTTATACAAAAATAGTGCAAACCTCTATCAGAAACAATATAATTAAGCATTCTCTTGCACTAAATATACGACTGATAGTCGATTAGGTCGGACTCGGTTACCGTCAAGTGTCAACAATGATTAACCCGCTAGATTATGCACCGGGAGGCGAGAATGAAGCTAGGTATTTAATTCAGTTGCACACAGGCTCACGTGATATGTAGTTCTGCTCGTCTGAACTCTGAATTGCGTGTTTAGTGTGCATGATGAAAAACTCTGCTTTGCAGCGGAGTTGTAATTACTTAATGAAATTCAGTTCATTGCAGTCAACTTAAGAGATAAATTTTCAACTAACTAATACTTTTTATAAGTCTAATTTTAATTGTTGAGTGAAAGGTGCAGGCATACAATTTCCAAGTGATTACTTTATAGAAGCTGAGCAAGTAAGCGTACCTACAGGCTTTAAGCCTTTAAGAAATTGATTTTTTGCCTCAAATAACAATGTTGGGTCAAAAAAGTGGTCTTGGTGAATCAAAATAATATATGAACCTTCAAAATTAGAATTCCATCCTGCTCTATAATGGAGCAAGCATGGAAAACATCTCCCTTTAGGGCCACAACTAGAGCTTTCTCACCATTTCCAGAACCACAAGATTTCTGCCAGATAAATTACCTCTGATCTAATTGTTAACAAAAATGCATGATCTGGCCAAGCATATCCAAATGTGTTAAACATTTGTCATGCCAGAGCTGCAACCTGCAAGATTTCAGGAACAACTTCAACAAGTAGGAAAATTCCAATCCTGTTAAGTGGAAGACTGGAAGCTGCAAGCCTAAGTGAAAAATTTAATTTGTGCCAAAGTTTTTGAGAGAATTCAGTCCTATAACACTTTCACAAATTTATATTTTCTAGCCTATATGACTAGCTATACATGATTACAATTCCTGTGATAGCCTACCTGGCCTTGATTTTTGTCTGCCCATTTTTAAGTTAAGACTATTATGAATTTTTTTAGCCTTTGAAAGACTTGCTTTGAGCATAAAGAATGTTTCAATCCCCAACCGNGGCCCTGCATCCAAAACTATGTCAAGAGAGCTAAAACTTTTGTTTTCTAAGTACTTCGCAAATGTTAATCTTCGTGTCATATTGGTCAGCCATTTTAAAATCGGTTCTTTTTTTAGGTACAAAGATACTCTCCCTGTGCATATGCAAGCATCCCTAGTTTATAAATATAGTTGAGCACGATGTGCATCTGTGTACGTTATGATGACGTCTTGCAATCTTTATTCTAGGGTCGCAGAACATAGGAGCAGGTTACTGTCAGTAAGAGTTGTAGAACTGGTAACTGACTGTTGCGCCCACCTCATTCAGCTGTGCAGGTTCACGCCAAGCAGTGCGATGTTCCAGTTTCTGACAGTGACTTCAAAGTTTTAGCTTCCAGTTCCGGTGTTTCTGATTTGCGCATTTTAGAATCGTTGTATAATTTTAAACAGAGGCCTAGTTAGAATTTAGCTTTTAGCTCTTACCCACTTGAAATTGTAAATAGGTAGGTTTTGTAGCTTAGGTTTTTTATTGTATTCTTGACTGTACTAATCACTGATTTATCTGTGTTCTAGAATTTTCAAACCGACGATGGAGCTGGACTACGAAAAGTTTTCTTTAAAGATACTATGAATTTTTGTGGAGTTTTCTTTGTGGTAAAACTTTAGATTAAATGCATCCAAAAAAAGGGTGTTTTTTTTAATTATATGTTTTTTGGGGTGTAAATTAAGAATCTGAAATCAGTTTTGGCAGTCAAATACGGATTTCAGATTCTTAAACAGTTTATTTACACCCCAAAAAACATAATAATTCAACAAAAAATACCTTTTTTGGATGCACTCATTCTGAAGTAATACCTTCTTTGCTTCAAAGTTTTTAGCCTAGCCTACCTATTACCTATAGATCATTAATAGTAGGTTACAAGATAAGTAGACCAGTTACAAGTAAAGTAAAGTATCCTGGAATTCATGGATACCAGCATCATCACACATAAGAAATGGGTTTAAAATTCAAGTATATAAGGAAATTAAAAATGAAAAGATAGGTACTAAAAAATCTGCGGTTGTCACTGACTGAACGACTCAACAATCACCAATTTCACCATGATAGGCCTATTTATACATTACAATTAAAGATTTCATGCGGTTAACAAAGACAAAACAATATATTTTATATTTTTATACAATAATTCCAAGAAAAAGTACTTGGGTTGCTGAAAAAAACTCACCTGTGAGTTTCCATATATATCAGTCAAGTTTTGAGTTTGACTGGCTCCCAAATGGAAATCAAATTCGGAATCTTGAGTCTCTGCTCCAATTATATTCAAATCAGGTTCATCAGGCTCAAAAAATGTCAAGCTCTGAGAACTTGGACCGTATGGATCCATTTTCAGAGTTTGCTTTGATAATGGTCGCACTTGTACCGCGAGGATTGGGAAAGAAGAAATGGCTTATAGCACGAGCAACGAACACGAAGCATGATGTTTTACGCCTAACGTAATATGCCCAGTGTTGCCATTAGCACTCGTCTCCCTCAAACCAAGAAGCAAACGAAATCACACCAAAAAGCAGTCCAAAATTTTCCCACCTACAACAAAACAATTGAATGTATAAGTTATTTTCGAGTTCTAAAGTAAAAAACGATCTTGAATGAATATGGATTATGATTCCAGTTTATTAGGCTAAAAGTGTCTCCAATCAGATATAATTAAGTGATTTCGAGTATTTAACGAGCGCGTGTGTCTTTTAACGAGTGATGGCATATCACGTCTTATCATCTTATCAGTCGTAATGGAAAAGGTCAAAAATGCAAGACTTACGTATCAGCTGTAATTAGTCTCATGTAAAATTAATTTAAGGTCGACTTTATTTCTTTATTTTTGTATATAGGGTCATGTCAAAATTGCAAACGCAAGTTGTTAAGCCGATAGGATTTTCCAATCATATAGGAGAGTAAATTCAGCATTTTTGCATGGTACATAAATTTTGAATTGAAAAATATTCATATCGAACGTATCATTTAGTAATTATTTTGTCGCGCTCTACTCATAGTTTCACAATGAAAGATTAAAAAGCTCGGAGAATTTCAGTGCGTCGGAGACGACCAAAATTATTTACGTAAGAAAAACGGTCTAATAATTAATACTTGTACCATGATATTGGTGCTTGCAGCTCAGTGCTTCGAAATCGTAAATAATTGACACTTCTTATTTTTTGGAACATTTTATTAGTACGCAAGACAAATTCTTTCCCGAGCTCATGAACTTATGGCCAAAAAGAAAACTTCAAAACCATTTATTAATGATTTAAATCATCAGCTGACACTAAAAGCAACATAATGAGCGTAAGTTTCAAATTCTAAAATTATTTTGTATTAGTATGAGCGAGTGGCTTCAGCAAATCGCGGGCCATCCCAAGGTCCTCCAGCAGAGGCCCGTACAGCACAACGTCGCGCGCTCTCTGCATCGCTGCAGTGAAGCCTGCTTCTGTCAGCTGAGATATCATACATACATAAATATTACTGTTGTTATCGAAATAATCTAATTGAAATAATTGATTATTATTATCGAAATAATTGAATCATATGAATGAAATTGATCATTTTCTTAACGGAATCATTCCATTTAGGATATGATATCCAGTTTTCTGGTCAATTGCATGCAAAGTGACCATTCGATACCTTATGATTGTTTATAATTAGCTTTAAACTACTGAAATTGTTATGATGACTATCTATTCATGATGTTACACAATACTCAATAGCATTAAACATTCCTATTGAAAGTTAAATGCATTAGAAGTGAACAAAGAATGAGTACAGCCTGACGTCGAAGCTACGCGACGAAAAATATAACTCAGTACTCACTGCAGTGAGTGACAGAGAGCGCATTTTCTCGTCGACGAAAACGTGAAGTCACGGACGGACAGACGGACAGACGGACGGACATGATAAACGCAATAGCGCCTTTTTCCATAAATGAGAAAATGCGCTAAAAATTATCATTAGACCGTCGAGTTCATAAGATACTCAGATCATGTTATTTATCGGCTGTCCTAAGTTAGTATCAGAGCAAAAACTAAATTCTTAGACCATAAGGAGAGATCAAATATCTAATAAAAGCTTCTAATTTATACATTTGACCCAGAAAACTGTGCAAGATCAATATTGACACGGTAATATAACGAACATCGTGGGATCAGCCACCCGAGAAAACATTGTTACTCCCACTGAGATGAAATTATTTAAAATAAGATATATATTTACGCACCGAACATGGCAGATTAGAATAAATAGAAGGTCGTTTGTTGTGGTCGACAGCGTCACAGAGACTCTTGTACTCCACGGCGCCCTCTTCGTTGGTCCAACTGCGAAAGAAAGGCATAAATATAGCATACGACTATACAACAAACAAATTTTCATTGGATAAATTATTTGTAAATTTCCCCTATATGGATTTAGTAATCTCGGCGCTGCAGTGTAGGCCTGATGTGGCCTGTCGCTGTTTATTTTTTTTTACAAATAAGGTTATATAGAACGATAACGCTGACGGTGACATTTCCTACTAACTCTCAATTCGTTGTAAAACGACATAATTTGAATAGTTTTAACGACATACGAACTATTATCTATCGTATATGAGTAATAGTTTCATAAGGTTATTAGCTTATAAGTGATCTCATTCCAGTGACCGGATGGCATCATGATTCAACCATGGGATGGCATCATTAGCCTGTGTGTCTATGAAGACAATTGAATTATGAGAGTGAAATATGGAACATGATTAAAAGTTCGGTTTGAAATTCTGTAATGAAGTTGCAAAAGTTGTGTTGAGGTGCCCATTATAATTACATATTTCAACTTTTGTCGTCACAAAGTATAACAAATTTATTAGAAGTGTAGCAGGATTGTACTAACTAAATCCTTGCTCTAATATTTTCAGCGAAGTTGGATACAATTTTGGAACCCGCCACTGCACGACTCCGTTACAAAAAACTTTGAAGCAATGAAAAAAACTTGGAAGTAATGAAAACTCTGCCTAAATAATTCCTAGTGTAAAGATGTGATAAAAAATAAATTTAAAAGTGTCGACAATTTCCCAAAGAATGACAAATGAGGATAAAATGCAATCAATGCTAGCTAAAATAGAGATTTCACATTGCAGCCTATAATGCTAGCAGATGAAGCGAAATGATATATACTGTACGTAACTAGCTTGCACTTTGAAAAGAAGCTTAGTGACCGACTATAATGCGAAAAGCAATGTTATGGGGTTATTTATGAATAGAAAACTGGCTATAGAAGTTAAATAGGAATAATTTCTTACAATAATTAATAAATAATCCTTCTTATAATAAATTGATAGTGTCGGTCATGAGCATCTTACGCGGTGACAAGCGCCGATGCCAGCGATGGCGGCAGGGGTAAGCGGGCGCCCCGCATGACAGCCCGCGCCTCGGGGCCGGACACGCTGCCCCGGCCTGCCGTGTCGCGGCTCAGGAACGACAGCTTCAAGTCCCCAACTATAGACACGTGATATATCCCGAGGTTAGCAGAGCATAGCGCTTTCTGCGTTTATTAGGCCGTAGGCCTGTCGCCGATTCTTAACGTCGCAGATCATTCACAGTTTGTTGCCGTCTCGAACCCACAACTCACTGCTCCAAATTCTGCTGTGTGTTAGTATACTGTATTTTAATGCAGCGTTAAAACGTGTGTGCAAAACGATGTTTCTTGAGATTCAGTGCTTTATATTGTATACATTAATTTGAACACATTTTATGAGTTAAAAGAAAAGTTACCAAATATTTATTCAAACGTTTCCAAAGATATTCTTGAAAAAATTGTATGTTTAATACTGTTCGGTCCTTTATATTATCGTTTGAGATTTCGATGTTGATTTTGCAAAATACACGAAAAACTTTTAACGGCCAAATTCATCTTTGTTCTTGTTTACGGAATGTAGATACGATCGGAGTACAATGAGGCTGAATCAATTGCACTGAAAAAATATAAATAAATTGTGGCAGGTACATAAATAATAAACATGTTGAAAGATATTAAATTATTTTGTTTGGGGTGTTCGTGAAGAGCTTTGAGTATTGAACATTCGGCAATGATTCTAGTGACATAAAAAGCTCGCACTAATTTTTTTTATTCATGGACAACTGATACCGGAGACGTGGTGTTTCTTGAGGTAGAGGGCTGCGAGGTGCGCGAGTTGCTGAGCCGTCAGAGCGTCAGGTCGCCTCGTCCTGTGACGTCGGCACAGCGCGCTTACTTGCTGCGCGCTCAGCCCGCCGCTGCCCGAGCCTTGAGCACGAGACCAAGAATTATGATTCTGATAGGGAAATTTGAAAAAATTAATTGCAGTAAATTGTGAACTACTTAGCTAACAATTATTTTGGATAAGTATTTTAATGAGTTAGTGTTTTTCTAATGAGTTAAATCTTAGATGCAAAATACAAGCAAAATTTTTCATTCATCATTCAGTCAGTACACTCGTTGACATTCGGCATCATTTTTCATGTTGTGTACTTTAGAAAACCTTGGCTTGGGAAAACTATCTTCCTATTATGTACTTTAGAAAACCTTGGCTTGAGAAAACTACCTTACCATTTTGTACTTTAGAAAACCTTGGCTTGAGAAAACTATTTTACTATTATGTACTTTAGAAAACCTTGGCTTGAGAGAACCAACTTCCCATTACTTACTTATGAAAACCTATAAATAGCGCCATCTCACTATTATGCACTTGTGTAGACCTTGACGCTAGAGTACAGTCTACGTACTGAGAGCTTGCGAGAGAACATAGAGTGCGTCGGCCGTCTCTAGCGTCCCGGAGAGCTGAGGATCGCGTTGCGTGAGCTGACGACACAAGTCGCTCAGTGACGCGGGGGATGACAGCTTCGTCTTGGCGGCGGCCAGAGCTATGGCGTAGTTAGCTTCTGTAAACTAACGAGTTGACCCTTAAAGTTTTAACTTAATAATATACGTTTAAAAATTACTTTTTAAAGACAACACTTCCAAAGAATCCAGTGTCTCCAATCTTACAGATGTACAATTAATTTCTCATTTAATTTTCGAATATTGAAAAATTTAATTTTTCAATTTTTTTAATATATAAAATTTTTAATATCTTAATTTTTTTTAATTATTTATTCTATTAATTGATTCATGCATTGCCTCGGACTTCACACAAGTGTGCAAAATTTCAGATAAATTAGACAGGTAAAAGTGTGTCAGATATCAGTTATAAGATTTGTAGCTGACAAAATTACTTTTTCAATTTTTTTGATATTGAAAAAAAAATTTAATTTCTAAAATCATTTATTTTGACATTTGATTCATGCATTGTCTCCAACTTTACGCAAGTGTGCAAAATTTCAGATGGATAGGATAAGTAGAAGTGTTAAATTTTGATTATAAGATTTGTAGCAGACAGACAGACAGACAAACAAACAAACAAGAAGTGAAGTTAAAGAGAAGTGTTGTAATAAAATGATGCGCTTGCGAATAATGTTCAACGATGTATGTGCAAAAAAAATTAGTTTAATGTCAAATGTTGTTAATGACGAATTTATTAACGTTTAAAATGGAAATTGTTATTTTGCTGAAATTAACAAAAAAAAAGTGTCGAAATAAAAACGCACCATCGGCAAATTTCAAACAAGTAATGTTATAGAATATAGAGGAACACTGTTCGTGCCCACAAAATGATGAAGAATAGAAGTTGTTCCGTTCCGTAATAAAATAAGTCATTCCGTAAAAAATTTGAACCTATTTTAACTCATTATAGCTGGTGTAACCCCACTAACTTGGTCAGCGGATTGTTCCATGTAGGCGCACGTAAATTCATCGGCTCCCGTAATCTCAAAAACATGCGAGAAAATGGACACTGTGCCGCCAATGAACAGCGATGTTGGGGCAACGATGTTGCCCTCTGCGTCGGGAACCAAATTCCTACTGAAGAACACGCCCGCACGACGTCCTGTAATGAGGTGATAAGACGCTTCAATAATATGGTTTGTATCAAAAGGGAATACTAAAGTTTAGAGTTCAACAACCTGAGTTGATACGAGGAACTTCATACACGGCGATGGTGGAATCGCACACGAAGACGCTGATAATGAAGCGACGAAGGGCATCGTTTTGATCATCACTGACAAGTCGCGCTGAAAACCGAAGAACTACGTCCTCTTTGCCAGACCTGTTACAAGTAGCTTATTAAGTAATAACTAATTAGTTATTACTTTATATATACTTTATATGTACTTTATAATACTTTATTACGCCGTACAGTATTGAATTACAGAAAACTTACAAGAATACATTACCAATAACTTATTTTAGGCTTGTGCACTCAAATTTTTTCTTTTTCACATATGCAGATCGTCAAAAAATTATGTCTCGTGGCGCAGTAAATAAAATATATTTTCAAATTAAATTTAGAAACATTTATTGACGGGTGCACGCGTGTGTTTGATACCTTATTTTTAAGTTAAAATAATAGGTCAAAATATTATAATAATATAATATATGTCAAAATATAATATAGTCGTCAAAATATTAGTTTACGATAATTCCATCACGATTCCATGTATTTCAGAATAAACTTTAGAACAACGTTTAAATTGTGCATCCGTGCAAATTCATCCGTGCAAAATGCACATCATAACTCACAGTCTGCTGACGGAGCGGTGGGTGGTGAAGGAGACGGAGGTGGGGAGGGGGTGTCGTGGGTCCTGGACCGCCTCCTCCAGCTTGGGGGGGTCCAACGCAACCGATCTCCGGGGCATGACAGGGCCAAGGCTCTCCGTCAGGTACTGGTAACTCGCAGGAGTTTGTTCTAGAAGCAGGAATAAATTCCGGTTAGTTCCATTGGTATTTGCAACCTGATATAACGACTGGAAAGGCTTCAGACATTCATGTTACAGTTTTTAAAGTTCCATCGGCATTTGCAACCNGTTTTCGATTTGGAATTTTATTATCAGAATTCAAGTGGTTTGGGATACTCCCATAGTCGCACCCACAAAAGGCTGTAAACGCAACTTTCCAGGACGGTGAATGGAATTCATATCATGAGTCTCGATTTTCGTCAAACTGATTCAAATGTACAATGTTGTTCTAATTTCAGAACTACTCGGTTGTTTGAACAGACACTTGCCAATTCCAAGCACGTCTTTGCAGTAGGTCGTAGTGAAGGAGTCGCACTCCACAAGCCGCAGGAGCCTGCCGTTGACGCAGACACACGCCCCGAGCACCAGGTCCCTCGGCCCGAGGAACTCTGGCGGTGCGGGAGCGCGCGGGCATCGGTCCATGATCGTGCGGTCCGATGAGGGCGACAGCGATAACACGGGACGGTTTGTACAGCCCAAGCTCGACACGCCACTCAAGTCGCGAGGATTCTGCACTCGAATAAACTTATTTATGTGCATAAAAAATATCGAAGTCCGCATTGAAAAATCTTTATCATTATTTTTCAATATTTAAGTTGGATTAGTTGTAGAAGTGGAATATGGGCTTCAAATTGGCAATGCCGTATTTGTTACACAAATTGATCAGTTTAGAAACATAGTCAAACAATAGCCTTTTAATTATAAATGACGGATGTTTTTCCGAGAAAAGCCCATTAAAATACTAATTTACTTTAGGCACTCGAGCGTTACACTTCTCACTTTAGGAACCAGTGAACGACGCAGTATCCTAGTAGTGCTGTCTGCGCTGCCTCCACCCGCCTTGCCTCCCGTCGCTGTCTGAGGGTGACTGCGGATCTCAATGGTCCCATCTTCAAGGTAACATCGTAGTTCGATTTTTTCATTGAAGATGGTCGTGACTCCACCTATTCGAGGAGTGCCACCCAACCATTCACCGTAAAATCTTGCAATGAAAGAAGAAATGAGAGATATTGAGACACTACTATTAACTTTTGGTCTAACTCTCTTTAACGCAAAATGCAGTTTCTCAGCTGAACATGATGCATGAGTTTAGTAACTTTCAGTACAATAATTTTTGTGACGTTATGCAGTGCAAAGCTAACTCATAGTTACTTCTAATTCGGGATATGAGCATTTTGGCTCGTTTTCCTTCTTTCTAATTGCGAAGGCAATTCTTTATCATCGTGACGAAGGCAGATTTGTTTCATAGTGACGGAGACAATGCAGTTTAATTATTTCTTATTTTTTAAATTTAAAAGTGATTATTTTTATTCAGCGCAAGTCCTAACCATTGAGTAGGTCGAAGATTCTCACCTCAAAACCTTGCCCACGTTCTGCACGTAAGTTTTCAATGGAAATTGTTTAGGCCAAGCAGGAGGGGCGACTAGACGACCGGTCTGCTTATCCTGCCGGAAATAAAAGATATGTTTACAAACAATTAAATTCAATAAGTCGCATGGGAACAATCAGCATAAATTAAAAAAGCTTTAAAGTACCACATAAACAAAATTATTATAAATATTTCAACGTGTTTGATTCGTAGCAAAAAAAACTGAGAAGTAGCACAAACACTTGCCACACTTCGAACAATATTATCCCCGAAACTGTTCGTCAAAAAATGTCAGCATGGCAGGCAACGAGATTCTTCAACAAGCTAATGATGAACTTATTTTTGGCATTTTTTTTTTTGTAATTGATGGAAAATTCAAGCTGTTAGGTTTAAGTGAATATAGTCTGGAATTTCAACAAAAAATCATTGTCCGTATCAAACGATTATGGAGTGCATACGAATGACCCAAAACACTGCACCTGATTTTTTAAACAAATTTATTTAATTATCAAAAATCTTCTTTTTAGAATTTGCTGGAGTAAATTCCACGTCACTTGGCGCAGTTTTGCAAATTCGTCAATACTTCTACGTCGATCTTTAGGGATCAAGTACCTAATTTTCTCAACAGTTTCTTCAATGTGGTATAAATGGAAGGACGGCCTGAACGAAGTTATTCACCAATTGGCATTTCCCTTCTTTTCAAGCGAAAAAAAAAACACCCTAAAACATGCGTTCTTCCTATAGCATAATCCCTGTAGGATGTCTGTAACTTTTTCTTCCTAGTTTTCCAAAGAAAGAAGCAAAATTTTATGGCAGCACGTTGCTTACGAAAATCGTAGCACGTTGCTTACGAAAATCACCCATCCTCAAAAACGACAAGCGCGCAAAACAAGTGTCACAAGAAAATTTGCGACAATGGAACACGGCCTTCTTGGGCAGCGATGCGTATAGCACACTAATGGCATACATTAGCATATGCACATAATGGGAGAATGCGGAATTACCGAATCTGCGCCCATCGTATAATAATATAATAGTGCGTCATGGGTAGGAATTTGTTGCAAGGTCTTACCTGTGTAGGAGTTGGGGTAAACGACACCACCGGAGGAGGCTGCAAGCCCAGTGCCCTGAGGTACTGGAAGGTGGAAGTGTCGCAGCCTTGCACTCTGTACTGCCTACCGCTGATGTAGATGATGTTATCTGCCTGTGAGGTGAACAGTAAACAATGCAATGCTTACCAGTGTACTCGCAGGCAGGGACCGATCACCTTCATAGTTATCGACTCTTTTATCAGCCAAATATTATTTTTAATAATGACTAGTTTGGCGGTGTGAAGGAGGATATTTGATAACAATGAAACGAAGAGTTACTTTCATTACGGTTCACGTAAACAAGGTTCAAGAAGGTACTTGATACTTGATGAAGAAGGAAACGCTATATTCATGATTTTAAAGTATTTATGAAGTACAAGTCTTTGTAATAGGTAGTGTCATGACAAACATTTTTAAAAACTAAAATTTTACAATGCATTTTATATTGTTTTAACCCTAAAAATCAGTACCTGCAAGCACTCGGGAGTGACGTAAGTCGAAGGATCGTGAATAAGCGGAATGCGTTGTCTACTCAAAACTTTTCCTGTAAGGCAGAACAAAATAAATAGATAACTTATGACAAGCCAAAAATATTTTTCTAAATTAGTGTAGGTGTGCAAATTGTCCTCATTAAAAAGTAGTAGTGCTTATGGAATAAATAAATTGATTGATATGTTACTTCAAAAATTTCAAACCAACAAATGAATGTAGAATTTCACACATCTAGCGATAAATTACAGAGGAATGAAAGTTCAGCGACACAATGTTGCCAGTACAGAAGTTGATCGTGTAAGTAATAACTAACTTCCGCTGTAGGAGCCGGTGTTGTGAGCAGGTTGTTGCAGCAGCACAGCTGAGTTGTCCTCGGTGTACAGGAGTAAAGTGTACTGTCGATCATCCAACCCAGCATGCACTCGGTCATCGCTTGATCTGTCCATAGTATAGCAGAGTAAATACAAATATGTTGAAAATACTACCGAATAGAATAATTATCATTACTTTAATTAAGAGAGAAGAAGTATTTCTTTGCTTGAATTCTGTTCAAACGAAATTCTATAGGACGACATTTTTAAGGTTGTACATATAATTCTCCAGCTTCGGTAACGTATCCAATTTCGAGCTAGTTCAAATCAACTGTGATCCGGTATGAAATCCAAGCATCTCTAAGTTCTGGCATACTTCCCTTCATTAATTTCCGGTTTAGTTGCTATGAAAACAATTTTCTTGGCATTTGAATTCTCAGTGTTCTATTTGCCTGATTTAAATTTGCATGATCTCCATAGTCATATTCTGGATACACAGCAACCATGGTGTAAGATTTTTACAAGATATATCACTATTTTCGGGTAATAAAACTGTGTGCGCATCACTATCTCATAAATGGAATCGAATCTATCTTCTCTGATTAAAATGTATTTCCTGTTGCACTACGCACGGCTGCAAGCCAGGATGCAGGCTGTCGTCCCGCACGATGCTGGTTACTGGGGACTGCGCTCGCCGTTTGGGGGGCGAGTTCCGTGCCAAATCCCACGACGCCAAGTCTGTCCCCACGCCCCATGCTGAGGCTGGGGAGCTCTCGCTTCGCGCTCCTCCCCACAAACGAACTCGAAGGATCTGTGGGTAAAAAAGTCGAATTTAGCTTTATCGTTCCATTCATTATTATGAATTGTGTATGAAATATCGTTTGAGTGCATTTATTACACATAATAATTACTTAAATATGATTTGAGTGCGAAAAAAATACATGCCTTCTGATCATTTAGATTTTAGCATGGACTATATTTAGGAAAGAAAATGTCATAGAAATTTATTTGATTGCAAAGTAGCTCTACTTAATTAAGTAGAGCTACTTTGCAATCTTAATTGCAAAGTAGCAATTAAGATTGCAATTAATTTACCGGGTGTGCAATACCAACTCTTCTAGCGAATTTTTTCATTTATGGAAAAAATGCACTATTGTGCTCGCCATGTCCGTCTGTCTCTCCGTCCGTGACTTCACGTTTCCATCAACGAGAAAATGCGCTCTCTGCCACTCACTGCAGTGAGTACTGAGTTATATTTTTTTAATGATTGCATATACTCAGGTTAAAAGCACAAGTGTTCGACGAACAAGGAGGGTAACTTCATTTTGTCGATTTGTCGGCCGAGCACATGGACTGCCTGATTTGATTTTATGTATTTATATTTTGAAAATGTGTTATTATCGCTACGTTTTCGTTCTTTGAAGTGTGTTAGATGCCAGAAAATTAGATTAATAGAGTTGTTGCTCGTACCCATTGTTACAATCGGAAGAATAAGAATTTATCATGGATATATAGCTCACAGTGAATGAGTTTCCCAGTCGGCAGGTTCATCAACATTGTACCAAAATAATGTTTCCAAAAAGATGGAGGAGATAATAATTCAATTTTGAAAAGCATTATATTGTTACTTTAAAATTGCATGAGACATAGGTATAAATTGTTACCTGACTGGACATCTGCAAGTCTATGACGATAGTCTAGACTTCGAAACTCCGCAACTTTACACCGTGAAGCGTCATCGAAGTAACCATGGCGACCAATACCATCGTTTTCTACGAAGTTCAGATCAAAAAGAATTTTGTAAGATAAACTAATTTAGACTGAAAATAATTGAAGGGAAATACGTACTACTGCTTATATTTGACACCTCAAGAAGCAGGCTCAAACTAATAACCATACCAGCGATTTTATGTTTCTCTTCTTTAATCCAGCGTTACCAAAATGGAACCTAATATGACCTAGCAGCATACCGATACTGGAGTACTGTTGTAAGCCATGTCTCGTGAATTTGCTGGAATAAATCAAAATAATGAGCAAGCCTATATACGTACGTGTACGACCAAATGACAAGTTTCGATTTATGCAAACGGTGACGTCAACTAAACTGGGTTTTGAATATACTTGATTGATAACAGTCGCGAAAAACATCTGATATGACCAGATCGATTACCCGATTCACCTCCAGTTTTGAGGGAAGTGACCTACATTCAAGCTCTTCTGCAGTAGTTGCCAAGATTTTCCTTTCACGATAAAAATGATCAAACTGCTTATTCTACCTCATACTTTTGGATTGAACATCAGTAATCTTTATTCAATGTTAGCCTTCGTCGAGGGCAATGATCTAATATCTTGAACCCTTTCTATTTAGGCCTACAGCTTTTTCATTTATTGTCAGCAATCAATCATACGTAACATCGCATGTCTCACAGTAGAATTTCTTCTAATGTTCCCATTGAATATTCAAGCTTACCGCATTTTCACATTCAAATAATGGATTTTGATTGTTCGGTCTTCCTTCCAATTGATACTAACATCGACGGATAAATGAAACGAGAGTAAGAATTCTTAAATTGTATATATACAAATAGATTTCTATCAGGTACAACACTTATGTCAGCTATTCTTCACAGAAGATAAGGCCGTGCGCAGGCCATAGCTGCTAAAATTAGTTATCAGATCGTCGTCAAGTCCGTGTTCAGTAGAGGTGCAAAATATGGATAGGTCGTGAATCGTGTACCGGTGCGAGTCTATTTCTTGGCGGCCTTCTTCGGGGACTTCTTGGCCTTCTTCACTGCGGGCTTCTTGGCAACCTTCTTAGGAGATTTCTTGACAGCCTTCTTCTTGGGGGTTCCAGCAGCCTTCTTAGCGGCGGGCTTCTTGGCGGCAGGCTTCTTCTTAGGAGTGGTCGTCTTCTTCTCAGCGGCTTTCTTTGGGGTGGTAGCTTTCTTATTCTTGGAGCCAGGTTTGCGTCCTCGTTTGCCTCCTGTTCCAGCGGGTTTTTCGTCCTTGGCGATTCTGAATGAACCAGAAGCACCACTCCCCTTGACTTGCTTCAGCACGCCTGCAATAACTTGACGTTTGAGTGCCAGTTTGAGGCGAGACGCAGCTTTCTTCTCATCTCCAACCTTAAACTGAGCGACAATGTATTTCAAAATTGCTTGACGAGAAGATCCACCACGTTCCTTGAGACCCTTGATGGCAGCGTTGATCATATATGAGTATGGAGGGTGTTCGGCCTTCTTCGCGGGCTTCTTAGCCTTGCTAACTTTCTTTGCTGGGGTAGTATCGGCCATTGTTAGGGTTTACTATTGATGGTCTTGATCACAAGAGAGTAACAGTGATTCAGTCTGACGATGAGAGCAGAATGTCAATATGGAGTGACAGTCTCAGACTAGTTGCAGCGGTCCGACGTGAAAGTAAACAGCCAGCTCGCGCGAGCTTCTCGAACAAATTTGCTTCGAAGCAGACAGAATTTGTGTTTGTCAGTTTTTCTAATTCGCAAATTATGTCATTCAGGTGCATTAATCGCGTAAAATAATGCCCAGCTTTTGAAGATAGATAATTTTTCTACTTGGAGCTTGAATATTTCTTCTCCAAAGTCTACAGAAGCGTAATTAAAAAGGCCATTCACAGGAAATTTGCGACTTAGAATCTCGGTTCTCTTGGTAGGATCTCAAATTTTGAATTATTCACTGAAAACTTCGGAAAAAACACCTTATGGCACTGGTGAGAAATTATTTGAGATGACATATTTGCAATAATATTCACAAATGTGCGCCTTGGGTGCGAGAAAAAGATGTATATTTCGCCTCAACAAACACAAAACGGCGTTTGACTCGCTCTGTCGTCGGCATACAGCGTGCACTTATAAGTGATTCATATCATAATTAGAAATTTTTATAGCATTATATATAGATCGTCATGTCTTAATGCTAATATATCATTCAGATATTATAATTTCAATGTCAATTACTTTGAGTAAATGTCTCTTTTCCGACAATATTTGAGAAATATGGGTTGCGCAGGAGCCGCTCTTCACAGGCTCGTGAGCTAGAGCAGCACGTACGAATTAACTTTACCTTCTCGGTCTTTTACAAAAATAAGCTTGATTTTTTAACCGTGAAAATTTGTAATAGAAATATCAGTGTCAAATTATTTGAATTTAGATATTTTAGGGGTAGGAATCAATTGTGAGAGTTTAATTATGATCTCACATCATGGTAAAAGCTTTGCGCGGGGATAGGAATCCGGTGTTGACTGCATGACGATTATTTCACAACATTAATTTTCAGCCAAAAAGTTTGTCTGAAAAGTTACAATCGAGTTAATAATTACTAAACATAAATGCACGTGTGCTTAATCATTTAGTTTGTCATAGGAAAGTACAATCGCTATAGGATTTATAGCAACAGCTCGGTATAATGCTATTTTTTGGATCCTTTGTTGCCTCGCAGAGAGTAAATAACGGACCGTTCAAGAGAGTAAGTAGCTGATCTAAATGAAATTAAGTGTTAATATTATAACGATGACACTTGTACATAATTTGTCCATCATTGCTCATATCATTACAGTGATACGCGGCTCAAAAAAATCATAACGGAATCGAGAGCTACATTTTAATCAGGTCACGCGCATCATGGCTGATGACGAATGTGCTGTAGAATACGAAAAAATTTTAACTCTCATGTTTCGAAAAATTAAAAGCGAGAAGATTACATAAAATTTAATATATAATTTTAAAATGTATAGTTGTTAGGCAAGATTGAATTTAAAAAGTAGCTGTGATTGTTATTGTTCTGATAATGGTTATGAGTTATGAGTTGGAAGAAATCGTGGGAGCTTACATGATCCGTGGACAAGGAATAAAATATTTGTTTTATGTAAATGTACCGATTATAATAATAAAAATTTCAAAGCTGTAACTTAATTTTGAACTGAAAAGAATTTATAGTGCACCACATCAAACTATGCTCTATTTTGAAATACTGGTCTCTCAAATAATTTATATTCACATAGTATTTAATTGAATTTAACTGTCTAATTGAGAAACAATTTGAATAATGTAAAGATTTGATAGCAACTTTTACTTTTGAAATAAGATGTTATTTTCTTCTTATAGATGATTGAGCGTAAACCGGTGTGTTATATGACACTTTTTTAACGTCGTAATTTGGAGCTCTCGAACGTCATGCCTTTCGCCGTGCGACGCTTGCAGTCCTTTTCATGCTGGAGTTCAGTAAAGAAAATCAGTTGAAATAAAGCAAGTTTTCCTTATTTCTGTTCAACAAAATATTCATTCATTACCCTATCTTATTTTGCAACAAATATAAACAGTTATTGACGCTGGTAGATGATTGTTATACGAATATCGTAGATTGAGTAACGAGTCGTTCTGGAATCTAAAATGGCGGCGACGGACCGTATAGCAGGGATCCACAACCCGCCGATTAATCGTGGCGTGCAAACTGCAAAATGACGAATAAAAAAAATATAACTCAGTACTCACTGCAGTGAGTGACAGAGAGCGCATTTTCTCGTCGACGAAAACTTGAGGTCACGGACGGACGGACAGACGGATATGGCGGGTACAACAGCGAATTTTTTCCATAAATGAGAAAATGCGCTAAAAAGAAGATTTGACAGAGTTAAATTTTCAAAAAATTTCTGACTTTTGATGCTTTGCTCGCATAACTGAGCGGACTGTAGTCTGGAAAGAACACTTAACAGAGAAGCAGCTCAGGAATGACCTCAGTTCGGCCGGTGCTGCACGGCATCCAACCATCGGAACGGATTTTCTTTCTGAGCATTCGAGAGCTTCAAAGAGCGCACTGCTTGGTTGCCTTTATTTCAATTATGAGTAACTATTGTCCATGAATAAATACTGAATGATGTGTTGCGATTTGAAAACCATTAACAGTTTATTAATTTCCGTTTCAATGCATAATGATGGAACATGCATGGGGCATGACAACGCAAATTAGTTTATTCGATTTTTCTTCTTGCACGATATGTACCATAAATTATGAGTATGCATTTGTACCAGAATTACTCCAATTACTAATTTTGACAATGGGAGTTGACATTATTTCGTTACCTTTTGTTAATTAATGCAAGTTGAACAGCTGTTGTGAATATCGCCTTTTAGCGCATTTTCTCATTTCTGGAAGAAAATGCGCTATTTGTGCTCGTCATATCCATCTGCCTGTCTGTCCGTCCGTCTGTCCGTGACTTCACGTTTTCGATGAGAAAATGCGCTCTCTGTCACTATCACTGCAGTGAGTACTGAGTTATATTTTTTTACCGTGCTCTAATATTACGAAGTCCAACCTATGTTGACATTGAAATGTCATTGTCCACATATCGATGCACTTTATATCTGTTCTTCTGTGGGTCATCTTGATCCCGTTTAGTCAAGCGAAATACACACGTGCAGCAAGTGTGTCACTATACTTGGACAATATGCCTCATTTCATTTTTCTCAATGTGTTCAACGAGAGAACTCTATATATATGATAATGTTATGTATTTAATTTCATTAACATACTGGGGAAAATGTTTTCTGGTGCATATTTTTACAGACACGTGCTTCAAATACAACAATACAAAGAGATGTAAAATTTTTTGATAAGATAATTAAGGTGAATAAGAACCCAAATTCAAAACAACATTTATATAATAATCTACTATCACATGCGCGTCGTATACCCAATCTTGCTCATGACGTAACTAAACTCAATTGGTGATTCCTGCTGTGTGATGTTGTTAGTATATTGTTTGGACGTTAAATAGATATATTGTGGGGTATAACGGTACCGTTATCAGAGTTCCATCAAAAACGTGATCTGAACTTCCCACAATAATGTGACTATACAGTTTGCCTTGTAATGCATGGTTGACATCATCATGTGGATGAATATGGCTGGTATATATCTTTTTGCTGCAGTGGACGGGAAAGATAAAACAATTAAAGCTTACACATGTTCATTTTTTAAATTAATTTATCGATATTCTTTGTTGTGAGTCAATTTTTAGGCTTTCTCAAGCGATTTTTTTCAGAGGAACCAGTTTATGTTAAAACTTAATTTGATAGTTAAGCAGCTTGTCAAAATCCAGAAATTAAGTTAAGTAATGGTAAAAATCTAGAACTTCGTCCGCTTTCGGTATCATTTAATTAACTGCATCAATCAATCATTTGCATCGGCAAAATCTTTCGAAAAGTTTGCGGTGCTATATAAGAACTGCTTCGTGCTCATAACGCTAGCGTGGCTAGCAGCACATAAGGCGTCGGGTGAACAGCCGCGTGGATCAGCAGTAATTGTTATATTTGCATCACTTCTTCAGTTGTCTAATGCACAAAAATCAGCAAAGAAACTCTAGATATTAAAAATTTTCCAATTAGAATCTTTGCATGTATTGTGTGCCTAGTACGTGGTTATCATAACTGACATGTAAAAATATGCTGCAATAGATAAAGTTCAATTTAATTAAGAAGAGTTAGAATATGTACGGACGACGAGAAATGAGCACGGAACGAATTTCTTCACATCTTCAAGCTGTAATCATTTCGCAATCGCATGTATATATATCAAGCTATAAATGTAGTACTCTTATCTATCGTGTTTTGAATAAATACGTAGAATTGCTTTGGATCTGTAAAATAATTGAAACAATGTTAGCCCTCATCAGTGGTTACCGTATTGAATGGGCCAGAATTAACATCGATGCTGGGGATGAGAGGGAGTCGTGGTGGGGAGAATATGGGGAGAAGTAAGATTTTATGTTGGATGACCCGTTGTGTTGAACTAAATTCCAGCAACTGCCGTCAATCTAACCTAACCCCAAACGTAAAATGAGATCGCGCATGAACCTTAGTATTACATTATTGTTCAGAAAATGACTGTTGGACCGTAAATTTACAGATAATGAGAAGATCAAGCCTTAGCGCTGCGATATAGTCACTGTCGAAGTATTTTGCAGCGAAACGAAATTAAGAGATATAATCTAGCGACCTTTGCTAACTTTAGCTTTTATCAGCAGAGCGGGAATATTCAAACTGAACACTGAACAGCTGTGGGACCACAGGCGCTACACCTGTGCCTGACTGAACAAATCATTATAAGTTTTGTTATTTCCATCAATTCTGGCATGAACTTTATTTTCATAGATTGGTCGCGATATATTATTGTCATTAGCTTTCGTTCAATCTCGCATATAATTCAGAAATTAATTCAATCTTATGCGCAGTATCAGACAATGAAATATTCTCTCGGTTTATGAAGTATTAATAATATTATGTAAGCAAAATGATATTAACATGCACATCATAATAGAGTTGATCATGAGGGTCGTGGCACGTAACAA